GGGGGGGGGGGGTCGTCTGACAGATTTTTCTGATGGTATGACTTTGGAAACGAACAAGAGGGAGCTGTCAAATAAACAGTTTGAATCCTTCAATAAAGACGTTATGCAACATGTGGAGCAAATGAGCATGCCCTGATCTGAACGACACTGATTGATTTTTTTTTTTTGTACAATGGACCGATGTGAATGGGCTACTGAGGGATGCTTAGTCAGTCATGTGGCAGTGAACACTGCAGGATTCCTATGGGCAGAGGAGTACACATGGTCACGTTTGCATACTTCACATGAGGGGCGGGAATCTTTAAGGAACCTCACAATTCGATTCCGTGGGCGACGATCCGATGATAAAAATTGTATTATTCATGATTTGCACTTTTAAAAAAGTATTTTAAACTGTTATTACAAGTGTGTCTGTCACTCGCAAAAACTGATAACATCTATCTAGTTTTGAATCAATGGTGCCAGATCATGAATTTGGATTGTTCTGGTCACTTTAACCCTGATGTTCTGGCTGTGCAATGGTACACCGCTACAAAATGAACGGAAAACACGAATGGATTATGTTCCGTGTCTGCATCGATGCAGGGTTGTTGAAAAAACTATTAATTTCCCCACCTCTACTTCACACCGCCAATGAGTGAAAATAAGCAGTGCAACAACAGCAGCCTGGAATAAATGCTTTTTCCTCGCTGTCTCAGTGACACCTCTTCACCCCACATGTTCCTCCAGGCAGGCATGCACACCCATGCCCAGGAAAACACAGAGACAAGGGGAGGAGCTTTTTGACCAGCTGACCAAGGCCAGCAGGGGCTTTTTGAGCAGTGGTGTGGGCCAACTGGGCATAGGCCACTGACTGCTTATGCAACAGGCCCGACTTACAGAGAAATAATCCCCACTTTATTTCCCACATATGTTCAATTGCACCAAAAGCAAACTGACCCTAAAACCGCACAAAAAGCACAAAATGGTAGCTGTGTGAATGGCTTAATTCCAACAAGAGCAACTGAGCCATGTCTGGAGAGTTATTTGATATCATGTTGATTACTTTAAGTTCAATGTGAATCTTGTCTTGAAATGTCATTTTTTTAATGACCTAAATCTAAAATCTGACCACATATTCTTTTTGTGAATACATCCTTTAACTCAAAGGAATGCTCAAACTGATATATCAATCATTACAAGTCACAAAATATAAAAGTTTAAAACAAAACTCAGTCAGTAAATTATTCATAAATTATACTCACTGCAGAGAGACTGAGATGAGGTCCTAGCGAGCGGATAACATCCTCAGTGAGGTCTGACTGGTCAGAGTCCCAAACGAAGCCGATGGTAACTATTTCTGGGGAGTTCATGAGGACCCGTCTGATCTTAATCCTCTGACCACAGTTGCTCTAGGTAGGAAAAAAAAAACAAAGACTACACTTAAGTAAATAATCAGTCGCAAGGAATATTGAAAAATAAAATGTTTGAGATTCTGAGGACAACCTTAAAATGGCTCATCAAATTCAACAACGATCATGAAAGGCTTTTGCAGCACATTAGTGCATTTTGAAAACTCACAGGACAATTACGAAGGTCCCCTATCGTACTCGCCGCTTGTAACAGATCCCCGAAAGACTCGTCTCTGCGCTGAAGCGTCTGTTGACTGAAGAGATGCAGAGTGATTGATGTTTGTGGGAGAGAAAAAAAATGCTGTGTGTACAATGTCAGATATTAAGTACATACAGAAATATGCAGGACGTGAAACGCAAGGAGAGAAAGTTTCACATTGCCTTACCAGAGTGCGGTGGTAGAGACATAATGCACCAGCTCAGTAAACGGCAGTGGGTCGGATGACGCCCCACAGCTACGGCACACAGACTGCAAGGGGGAGAGAGGCACAGAGACCAAGAGGGGGACAGACACAAGAAAGAGATACAAAAAAGATAAATTGGTGTGAGTTCAGCATCCACTGCCAAGGACTTTGCCAAGTCAGCATGTCATCAGAAAATTTCACGCTCCTGCAAAAGTCTTTTAGTTGTATAAATTATGGCGAGAGATTAAGACATGCTGGTTTTGCTGCTTTCCTTGTGTAATAAACTGTGGGTTTATGATTGGCATTATCAGGCATTCAATTTCATTTATGAAGTCATCAATCTCCCACTGACACAAGCAATCCTCATTTAGGCCTTTTTGATAATTGCTGGTTTTGGGTGCCCTGTAGTAACGGTGGAGCAAAATCCGCTGAGGGATTTAGTGCACAGGCACATTATCTGTTAGATTCAGAGACAGAAGTGGTTTGGGACGCTGACAGAGTCGGCGATGGGCATCACAGCCACAGGGCAGGGTAGTGTCTGTGTTGTGCTGGAATTTATGTGGACACCATCTGTGATTTATCTGGTAGTGCTGCTGCTGCTGTAGCACAGTGGAATCTGACCAGAAACACCCTCCTTATTCCACTGGGGCAACCCAGTATCAAAACATGACGGATTGGATTTCTACTGTCTCAGACAGTGATTCATGTACCTGTCTCTCTGTGTGTGT